GTAGAGTATGAAAGTGAACTATATCTTCTTAAATTTTTCAGGTATGAGACTCTCAGTCCCGCCCGACTGAAGTAATGTTCACAATAGGGTTCTCTATGTACCGAGATCGTCCACCATTTTTCGAGATACCCAGTAAGTTTTCATATATATAAATTCTCATCATTCAGACAACCACCAATCTCATACCAACACTTTATTCCGTATTTATAAATTAACCTAAAAGGTGTCTAAGCAAACAATACAATTTATCACAACCTGGTAACCAAATAAATAAATAAATAGTGCAGAGGAAACCAAATAAACTAGATAATTGAGGACACAATTCAAACTAAAAATTTAATACACATAATTTAATAGTAAACATTTTAAGCAATACATGAAAAAATGACAGTAAACTAGAGCAATCGTACGCTAATCGATCTCGACTCCACTAGTGATTTGTAATTATTATTATAATTTTATTAATTTTCATAAAATACGGAATTATTGATTATTTAGTCTTAGTTTATCATAACAGAGAATATTGTGAGGAATCCTTATTGGAATTGGCATTTCAAAATACTGTGTTACCCACTCGCCTCCTGGCGGGCCTCGGGTTTCTCGAATTTTTTCTCTAGGAATCAAACTATTTGTTACGTATACAAAAATACCTAAAAAATCCAAAATTGGTATTGAAAAATCCTTTATGGTCAATTTTAGGGTTTCGGCACGATGGCTTCGTTGTGCTTCGGCCCCAGCTCCGCCGCTCACAGTGGTGGTTGGCCTTGGCCTGGCCAGTTTTAACTTATTTTGGCCGATTATCCTTGCAAAAAATACGTTAAAAAGCCTTGGTTTGCCAGAAAAATTAAAAAATCAAACCTCCCCTGCGGGATCTTCGGGTGCGGTAGTTTCGTCGGTTCTCTTTCGCAGCTTGGGTTTCTCATTTGGCTAGTCTACATAGAAAGAGACGATTAAAATAATGGTCAAAGAATCGTATGAAATGGGAAACATGAAGGGGGTCATCGGAGGGGATTTAGGGTTTTTGGCTGTGGCAGCTTCGCGAGGCTTTGTCCGCAATTTTCGGTTTACCCATCGTCACTTTTGCTTCGATATAGCCACAGGGAGACTCAGAATCAAATTCTGAGCGGGAATGAGAAAATTTTACCTTTTTTGGTGGCCGACGGTGGCTCCGATGTGGTGGCGATTGGGGGCCGATCTTCTTCTCTAGCAGGGGCTGGCGGCTAGGGTTAGGTGCTCCTACGAAGATGAGTTTAAATATTCTATCCTCTTCAATCTAAGTTATTCATTTGTGTCGACGTGGAGTGAGGAATACCGTTCGATGATTTTCTGTTTAGGCTGATGGCATGAGCGAATCCAAGCCGTCCATCACGATCTATCTTATCCATCCGATCACGTTTAAAGAGGGAACACATCTGGGCAGTTCACACGTGCAAGATGAGATCTGAACCGTCGGATCGCTAAGCACGCAGATCGCTCACATGGCTTCCTGCTTGGTGCCGATGTTAGTGGGGTTGCCACGCGGCGTACTCCGGTTTGCTGAGACTGCTGGCTAGGCTGTTCCACATGGCCGAACTTTTTTTTTTACATTTTAACCTCCTGTTTTTAATTTTTTTTTAAAAAAATATACATCAAATTCAAAATTTCACCCATTTTCTTCAAAATTACTTTCAATTTCGTCCATAATTTATTTAATTTTTTTAAAAATTCAATAAAATTAAATTAAAAATAAAATTAATTATTTAAAATTTTTTTATAAATAAAATAATCAAGAAAATCATCCCAGGCCGATTTTTCATACCTAGATATTACATGATTAATTTCGATCATTTTAAAATATTATTATAAATAATTTTTAGAAATTATTTTGTTATATGAATTATTATAAAAATATACAAATTATATATATATATATATATGAATATATGAGTAACTTTACAAGTTTAAAAAAATAAAAATAAAACAATATTTTCGGATGGCAAATATAGCTTTGTATTATGTATGTCGGTTTTTGAGTGATATATGATTTCAAGAATTGAATTTAAGTTCATCTTGTCAAATACATAATTGATTATGGTCAATTATTTTATTTGAAATTAATAAGAAATAACTTTTATTTTATATATATATATATATACATAAATATTAGAATAAACTGTTTGGTTGGTAGATAGTTCTATGAAGGTAAATCACAAAGTCATGATGAATTTGATCATCAACGACTGAATT